TTTGGTCTGGGAGGAGGTGATAAAGGTGACAAGAAGTCATAGGGGTATGACCCTAATCTGATAGGACTAATGCTCTTATAAAAAGGGGACGAGATACTAGAATTCTCTCATTCCCTAGCCTTGTGTGTATACACTCAGAAGAAAGGCCATATAAAGACCCTAGGAAAAAGACAGATATTTGCAGGCTGAGAAGAGTGCTTTTAACACAAACCCAACTCTGCCAGACCTTAATCTCAACTTTGGACCTTAATCTCAGCCTCCAGAACTAGAAAAGTAAATTTTTGTTGTTGAAGTCACCCAGCCTGTGGTACTTTGTTATAGTAGCCTGAGTGCACTAATATACCAGGGGAGTATATTGGGGGGAGAAAAGTACAAGATATCTGAAAGTATATGCAAGGAAGTGAATACAGTGATGGACCCTGAAGTCTAACCAGATAAGGAGGGAAGGAATATGGTGATAGGGATGAGTGATGGATAGCAAAATTTCAATAAGGTCAATGAATTGGAAGTCTTGGTTGTAGTTGGGGCATTAACTGGAAAATAGGATAGTAAGAGAATAGGATGTTTGACATTATGGAATAGATGTCTTACTGATAATGGCAAGGTCTAGGAATATAACTGTAAGTGGAAGACAGTCATTGAAGATAAGGAATCAGAACTGAAATATCAAGATATTGAAGGAAGTGTCTGTATGTATGGTATTGAAATCACTAAGAATAATTACTGGAGGAATAATAGAGTGAAAAGCAGAACTTCAAAAGGCAAAATACTCAAGGAGTGGATGTAGACTTAAGTAGATGGATTTGAGTGATATTTAGAATCCGATCAACAGGAATTGGTCATGAAAAAATAAATAAATAAATAAAATAAAATGAAATGGAGGAAGGTTAGGGAGAGGGAGCCATTAAGGATAACTCCTGGGTCTCTGACGTGAGCCACTGGATGAATCATTGGTAAGTTAGAGAAGGCTGGGAGAAGATCAGAAGTTTGATTTTGGATATATTAAATTTGAAGTGAACTTCCAAGTGAATATTTAAGTGAAGATATTGAGTAGGTGGGTTAATAATTTTGGTCCAGTGCTCAGTGGAGGGCTTATCTTAGAAATAGAAATCTGTGAAGTATCTGATGATGAGTGGTAATTGAATCCATAAGAGTGATGGCATTGCCTCGGAAGCAAGTGTGGAAAGAAGAGAAAGAGAAGTCTAAGACTGGGTCATGAATAATTTTAATATTTGATGAGCAAGCTGAGGAGTAAGAGTATTCAAGGGAGACTGATTAGGAAGTGGAAAGAGATAAATAAACCAGTGGAGCATGAAATCACAGAAACCAAGAGAAGAGAGTGTTTTTATTTTTATTTTTATTTTTATTTTTTAATTTTTTTTAGAGTGTTTTTAAAACGAAGATGTAGCCCAGAGTGTTTAAAGTTGACAAGGGGTCCCATAGTCTGAGAGCATGAAAAGATCTTTGAAATTCGTGACATGGAGGCCATTGGTGACCTTAGTAAAAACTTCTTTAATGAACTAAGAAAGTGGAAGATAAATTAGAGATAGGTTATTGATTGAGGCAGAGGTGAGGCCAAAAGAGACAGCAAGGTAGACCACCATTTCAAGAATTTTGCTTGCTAAAGGGGAAGAAAAGTGTAGAAATTGGAGGGATCAGTGGGATTAAGGATAGAGGCACATAGTGTATTGTACATATGTATATATCTGTATTTTGATATATGTGTATATTTTTTATTTTCAAGATGATGAAAATGAGCTTATTTAAATCTGAATGAAATATATATATAATTTGGAATTTTAATATGAATTTAGTATGTCAGTGAGAAAAACGTAACGTAAATGATGGTGGAAAAGTAGGAGGGGATGGGATCCTAACTGCAGGTGATAAAATTGATCTTAGGAGGACTAACATTTCCTCTAGTGTAACAGGAAGCAAAAGGAGTTAGACTGCTTGAGGACTCAGTCTCAGTTATCTTACTGTGTTTATCTTTTCTCTCTGGGTGTGATCTAATCCTTTCTTACAAGAAAGTATTGTGGAGGGGCTTTCAAAGCATCAGTGAGACACAAGGAGTACACCAGTTCCGTCTTTTATGAATGCAGGCTTGCATGGTGTGAGAGAGGAAGCAGCTACCACTTGAGCAGACTGTGGTAGAAGCAGCCCCCTTCAAGGCTTTGGCTGTGGAAAGGGGGGCGTACTCAGAAAAGACAGGGAAAATGTAGGGGTGTTTGCCATTAATGAGAGCACAGTGGAAGCTTTGGGCGGATCATAATCATAATGACCTGGAAAAGATTTGTTATTGCAAGAAGATAATTTTCAACCCCAGATGAAGCAGTTTTAGAAGCAGTTTAGCAGAATGGTGGAGGTTACTTTGGAAAATTATAAAGTGAAAGGCACACTCCTTTCTCAAGGAATTTGGCTGTAAGAGAGAGGAGAAAAATAGAAATCAAATACTATTTGACTTTTTTCCCTCTATAAACTAGCTAATTATTTATGTGATTTTACTTCCATGTTGTTCCTTAACATGATTTCTATTCAGGTTGATTTTTTTTAAATAAATTATTTATTTTTTAAAGTTATTGTTTAAATTCCATTTGGTATACAGTATAAAATTCGTAAATAATACTTTCTAAAATCCTTTCGTCCAAGCCATGTCATACTTTTCCCTCCTGCCCAGAATATCCTTTAAAATTTTTCTCTACCTTTATGACCACAGCTCTTTCTGTAAGACCAATTCAAATGTGTGTTTCAACTTTCTCTTTGTGTTACATTTTCATTATGAAATAATTAGTGTTTATTATAAAACCATTTTCAAAAATATGAAATTATAAATTTAAAATAACCATGCAATACTACCACTCAGCGATGTCATAATGTGTCTGTTATTTTTTAACACTAATACTTCCAAAGTTGATTTCTTTCTATTCTACTCAGTATTTATAATAACAAAATTTTAATGGCTGACTAATATTCCATGGTATAGATTTACCATAATTCACTTACACATTCTCCTAGTATTAGCTAACTTACGTAATTTCCATTTTTCCTATTGTAAACAAAACATCTTTTATATAAATGCTTGCCTACAAGCATAGTAACACTTATAGGGCAAAAAATCCTTTAAGTATATTAGTAATTGAAAGGGTAAATGTTTTTTAAAGGCAAAAATCCTTTAAGTATATTAGTAATTGAAATGGTAAATGTTTTTTAAAGGCTCTAAATATATATAGAGATGGATTATTTTCCAGGAATGCTTTAATAAATTATCTTCTCCTGGGCAACATTTGTGAGTTATGAAGTTCCGTTGCATTGTTAGCATAGAGTATTGAAAAAAAAAATCCAATTTCCTGGGTGGAAAAGTGTTTTTCCATTAGGATTTTCATCTACTTTTGTTTAATTACTGATTTCGTTGAATATTTTTTCTTATAGTTATTGATCACTGGAATTTTTTCTTCTTTGTATTGTCTCTCCATGCCCTTTCCCTGTAAAACATAGTAGTTTTTTTTAAAGCATATTTGTTTTAATTGAATTGTAAAAGATCATTAGTATTATGAATCCAATTACAGAAATTCATTACATGCTAATTATATTGCCTTGTATTATATTTATTTCATCCTGTTGCCTTCCTAGTAAGATATATTGCACCTATCATAATCTTTACTTAATAATCTATCCTCAGAATTCCTATAGCACACTAAAGTGTCACTCTTCAATCTTAAAATTTCAGTCTCTTTGGTCTTGTGTGGTTCCTTAAATAGTTTCTCTCATATTAGTCTTTTATTGCCAGAAGGATAGTATCTTAAGAACTGTTATAGGAAATATGTTTATCACCATTCCCACATTTAAAATTGGTATTGTGTTATTTGACTTCTAGTTTGCTTCTGAGATTATCATTATGTATATGCTCATCAAAATGTGTTAACAAATTAATCATTGTATGTTGGTTACCATAACATCCTAGAAAAATTTATTTATATTTAAAGTCCTAGGGAATAGATTCTTTTTCTTGATATTATCTTTATGCTTGTAGTAAGATGTGGGAAAAAATACTCCTGGGGTATATTAAAATTATTTCAAAAGTTTTAGGTTTCTATGTTAAAGAAATATCTTTGTGTATGTTACTTGAATCTTGATCTTAGGAGTTAAGTGAAAGGTGGTGTGAACCATCTGATGAATGATTTTTTTTCATGTCAAGCAACCCAACTTTTCTGAGCATGCTGGCTTTATAAGGATTTATAGTTCCTTGCCTTCATGCTGGAGTTACTTCAGCTTTCCGTGATGCATTCCAACTAATCTGGGGGTTAAGGCATTCCTTGATCATGGATAGATCTGATTGCTACTCAGCCCTGGAATTCTTTATAAAATTCCAGAACATGGGCTAAAAATTGACTTAGGGAATCCAATAAAGTTGCAAGTCTTGGCAGTCATCCAAGCTAAATTTATAGACTGGAAGAAATATGGGCCTTCCATTGTTCTCTTTTTCACCTTTCTGTGTTTCTTTTGTGTGTATGTGAGTGTGTGAGTATAAATTTATCATTTTGGACAATGGAGTGGAAATAACCATTAAGAGAATCCAGCTAAAGAATTTTCACTTTGGATCTTCCCTGGTCTTTCCAAATTTTAACCCAAACCTGCACCAAAGTGAATTTCTTCTTCCTCTGTAGGATGTTGTTTTCATAAAATAAGAAGTTGTTCTTGAGAATGAATCATGCTAGTATAACAGCTGATATATATATATTTGCCAGCTAGGTACAACTCCTGAATCCCTGTTCTTCCCCCTTGCTCTGTAGGAGCCTTCTTTTTGAGACGTGATCTGATAAAATGTTATCATATATATTGTTTCTGTTCATTCTCAGAAAAGGCAGTGGGGTCAAGAAAAGAAGCTCTGAAGGCCTCTTAGAGACTTGAATTTTTTTGTTCACACCTGATGCTCTGTAATACATGGAGATCCAGGCAATCCTCCCATATCTGAGCATTGAAAACCTGTCTTATTTTTACAGAATGGGTTTGCTGTTGTAAGGCCCCCAGGCCATCATGCTGAAGAATCCACAGCCATGTAAGTACCAGGGACTGTTGCCCATCTCTAAGCACCACGGTTCCTGGCGGTCACCTGCCCTGTGCATGTCTCTGAAGCCTCTAATTGTTAGCAGATGGACTGAAAAATCTTGCAAGGTACTCCCAGAAGCAGATTTATGGCTTCAGAGATCATATAGCATTTTAAAAAATGCTCTGAACATTATTTATAATGGTTTTCCTGGCTGATTTGCTTTCTTATTTCTCTGTTCTTCTCTATTCCACAGGGGGTTCTGCTTTTTTAATTCAGTTGCAATTACCGCCAAATACTTGAGAGACCAACTAAATATAAGCAAGATATTGATTGTAGATCTGGTATGTATTCCTGGCCAGAGCTGCATTTTCAGTGACTCTAGATAAAAGGGAGTGTATTTGTATTTCTCTGTTAGGTTGTCCTGCTTTTAGCACTTGCAAACAACTGACGGGTGTGTTTCCTTTGAATGTGGAAACTCATTAAATTCAAGATTGCAGTTCTGAAACCATAAACATTCACGTTTCACTTTCATGGTGTTAACTGCAATTTAATGAGAAGAAGGCGCAGATCAGGGCAACTTTTATGATCCTTAAATGAATTGATACTTCCACAGTTAAAATAACCCAACAGAACCTGAATTTACTTTTCCCTACAGAATATAGACTTTTAATAGTCAGATGTGCTGGAAAGAATGCTGTTGCTTTGGTAACCAATTGGCCATTTCCCCTGGTTAGCAATCATGTTGCTTGTTGTGCAACAGTGGTATTATTAAAACAAGTCAGCATGTCATTCTTTCTGAAAAGATCTGAGATCATGTATGCCAGTTTGGGATGACTCCCGGCAGGAACCCTGAGTGATTAAAAGTCAGAGGCATTAGATTAGTCTTGCATTTTAACATGATGCATTCTTACACAATAGAGTTATAATTTGCTTAACAAATGGTTTGTTTAAATGCAGATGACACTTGGCATGTTGTCTATAGTATATTCATGAATAATGAGCTGGAGATCTGCCCCATACAAAAAGGCCAACCTAGGAAAGGGCGAAAGAGAGCTGACTGGTGATTTATGAGCCCCGTTTTCGGTTTGCCTCTAGTTCACGAGGAGGTGTAATAGGTTGTCTGACAAAGCATAGACAGGAAATGAACCCTGGCATCCAAAGAGAACCTGCTACATCTGCACTTAATTAATTTTTGCAGGTGATAAAAGATTTAAAGGCAAAATATGTTAAAAGTTTTTTTGAAGTGCAAGGCTTAATAGTCTAAATCTTGTTCATATCTGCACTCATAATTAAATCTTATTGGGAAGTCGTGGCCTCACCATCCAGCCCTCTGATTCAGTTAAGCAAGTAAACTAAAGGGTTTTAGAAAGTCTGAACAAAGCCATGTGAAGAAATACTTAGTTGAGTTGAAAAGAAGATAAAAGGAATGGAAGACTGATAACCATTTCTAATGCTTGGTAGGAATGGATGTTTTCCACATACTGTAGTGTCGCTACCCACAAGCACTTTGGTGCTAAGAACTTTCCATGTATTTTCCAAATATGGCTGAGTTTCACTCTAGGTCATAGTTCACCATTAAAAAAAATGTGTTGAAGGCCTAGATATACTACAAAAGCAAGGTCTTTAAAGGTCTTAAAATTTTATAAAAATGAGAACATCAGTACCTCTATTCCCATGTGCATACAAAATGACATTTTCATTAATTGGTATTTATAGATTTGTATGATTCTAACATAGTAATTTTAAAAAGTAATTTAATACAGTCCTAGTACTATAACTTCTGCTAGAAGCATAAGCCAAGAACTTAGAGAAAGGATAGCAGATGAAGACCAAGGATTGTGGAGAAATTTTTCTAAGCTTTCTAAATTTGTCAGAATTATGCAGGAAGGAGATTGGTAAACTGTCCTATCCTTAGAAATCTTTTAGTATTACTTTCTAAGAAATCTACTCTGCTACCATTTTATGGTTCTATGGAGATAATAATTGTTAAGAGTCTCTTTGAAAGCACATTTGTGATAACCAAACTCTAAAGTAATGAATTATACAATAGACTTAGGAGCAAAAATGGCTTGCTTGTGATAGATTTGTCTGTAAAATTGTTTTTTTTATATTTAATATATATCTATGTTAAATATGTAATGTTTATATTCTTATATATTAATACAAGACTGCATTAGATAATTCTATATGATTTATAAAATAAGTTGGTTGGAAGCTCCAAGGAGTGTCCTGTAAGCTTACCGGCCTTTGATTGTAAATTTGCTCTGTTATCCAATCATTAAGGATGCTGATTTCCCAGAAGGCTGTAGTAGAGGAGAAGTTTTTGTTTCAAATTCTCTAAATATATGAAGTTCTGTCCAAAGGGTTGCCTCTGAGATCACCACCAGCCCGCATATTCTTACTTTCAGGTCTTCCAAATTCTGCAGCTGCAGGGATACTTTGAGGAAATTCCCTTGTTTCTTCCAGCTGCCGAGAAGGAAGTTTTAAAATGCCACGTGGCGCAGAAACATCCGTTCTCCCTGGCTGACAGGTCTATTCTGCAAGTTAGCAAAGGAGAAGTGAAGGTTCTTCAGTGGCAAAAGAATTTAATTCCTGCATACCCAAAGTCACTAACTTTAGCTGATCAGTGTGAATTGGCTCCACAGATTCTTGGGCCAAGAGAGGGCAAAGCTACTCCATTGTCCAACAACTAGTTTCAGCATTTTTACATGCCTAGTAAATAGAGAGCCAGAGCTCTAATTCACCTCTTATTTGGGGCCACAGCCAAATTCAGGGGCACTGAATATTTTGGGCAGGAATGATTCTGGTTGATGTGCGGAGCTTATTCATTCCAGTTCTGTTTCTGGGAAGAGTCCAGAGACATTCAGATTGGTGAGGAAAGGGAGCAGGTGCACTTGCTTTTCAACTCACAAAAGACTCTTCATTGTGTTTGGGGTATGAACCATCCCCGAAAGTAGGATTTGCATGTATGAATCAGGTAGCCTTTATGCAATGTGACTTTCAGTTGAAAATAATACCTTTTAGACTTAATTTATTAAAAAGTCACATCACATGGCCTAGATTTTGGGTAAATTCATTTAACAATGAATTTAGCACCAAATTTAATAATTGTCAAAAGTGCCTATACTAAATAATTATAAGTGATAAAGTAGCTGGTCAAATAGATGATTTATTTAAAGCTTTTTTAACATTATAATGAGAATATATTGGCTCTTAATCCTTATAGAAAATAAATTTTCCCAGTATATTTTTAACCAATAAAAATATTGAAATGATTTTCCAGCATTTCCCAGTATATTTTAGAAATAAGGTCAGTTTTGAGTCCTTTAGTGTTTCAGTTCATCTCATTACCATAGTAATTCCTCACAGTCACCAACAATTTTCTTACATTAGTTTAGTATATACTTGTTGTTATGGAGAGAAAATTCTGAGATCGTACCTGAATAGTAAGTACTTTTTATGAATATTTTGCAGCAGAGAAAGCTAAAAAAGTATTCTCAAGGTTACATTATAAATTGTTGCCCAAAACTAAAGGCATATTTAGGTTTACCTTTATTCCTAAATATTTTGTGAATATGAACATGAAATCAAAGATTATCCAAGTATTTTCAGAATGGATTTATGTATTTTAATGAATAATGTCTGTTGAACCTTTATTAGAATGTAGGCAAGATTATATTTCTTATTCAGAAGTGTATGTGATGAGTACCCAACACGTTTTTCAAAAATAAATGATTTTATATCTAAGACAATTCATCATCTTTTATTTGACCTTTTTAAATAAACCATCACAGCATCACTACAGAAATATAAGTAATCAAGGCATTATTCTGGTTTTCAAAGTGTAGACCCATTAAGGGCCAGAGCAAATTTTTCTTACAATGCTGACTAAAAATTCTATCATGTAGTAAAAATGCAGACATTCTTTCCTTGTTGTTTTTCATAGTCTCTTATTTGTCCACCCTCTAGGTATCTAGTAGCAAACTCAAAAGACGTGAGTTTGTTTCATTTTTGTTCAGATAAAGGAAAATAGTTTCGCTATTCTGCCTTCTTTTATTTATTTATTTATTTGATCATTCAGAAATCCAGGGATTAGAATATTTTCAGTAAGTTATTTTTTTCCCCTGATGTGTATGCCTTGAGCCAAAACAAATTTCTGGTTGCATACCTTCCCCAATATTTTATGCTTCCTTAACTGATTTTGGATATGTGTATAATGTAAGAGGAGGGGATGATTAGTGTATGTCTACACTGGATAACAAGTTCAATGCAGGCTTTCAGAATCCAATGAAGGGAGGCTTTGGTGGTATTTAGTGAGGGAGTTTTGGACTAGAGATTGAGGTGAAGACAAGTTATATAAACCTCAGTAAGGAGCAGTGATGACCACCACTCTTACTTCACAGATTTGCTAACAGGATCAAAGAGGTAATGAATATTAAGTATAAATTAACATATGATGGCTATAAGTTTGGCCTTGAGTGTAAGAAATAGATTCAATTTCTATTTTATTTTATTTCTATTTTATTTTGTTCAGGAGATACTAGGAAACATATTATTTGAGCTTCTTAACACTTGAGGTCCTCCAGTGAAGACATTTTTTAAAATGCTATTATTAGTTTTATTTTTCGTATTAACTAACAATGAATTTACCCAGCAAGTTATTTTTCGTATTTCAGCAATTCCATTATATGTCTATATCATAAAACAGCAGAACCAGCAAATAACTGCAAAGAGTTAAATGATTATTATATACAAATGTCCTAAGAAGTTTTTCATTCATTTTAATGATACAGGATTTTTTTTTTGAAGGGATGGGTGGTATGGAGGTGGGGGGACAAAAAAGAAAGGAGGCTAAGGAAGAGAGCCATGATAGAATATCAAAATTAGGTAGATTGGACAAGTTTGCATGAAGCTCTGTGCCATCTTTTTGCGTGGCCCAAGTGATTTAATAGCTGATGAGCTCATGCTCCTGTGTCTTCAACTCTTGCCATCACAATTTTACCAAAATAAAGTATGAATTCCTTTTTGCATCTGGCGTCTCTTTTGAAGTAATTCTAACTGCTGAGGGATTGCTAACTGAACTGAATGCTCCAAGAAGGCCAATTTACTCAGCTGGTTGCAAAGCCTTTGACCTTAATGGTGGGACTTGGCAAATCAATGCATACATGTATGTTTAGTGTTCTGTCAAGAATTGTGAAAATGCTCTGTAAGCCATAGATCCTTCTGCAGAATACTAGTTTGTAGTTCAAACATTAGTCTTTCTTCAGAGGCCAATGAGGCTAGTTAATTAAGCCTGAGGGGTTATGAACTGTTGGCAGTTAATAAGTCATAAAATTCCTCCATAAAACAGGATGCGAGATTCCATCACTGAAGCTAAGAGTACAAAGGGCCGGTGTATAAATATCTAATTGTACCAAAGGACTGGGCTTTCTCAGTGACTGCTCATCTGGAGTCTCCAGGGCATGTTCGCTGTGGTTTCCTGATTTTTAGAAGCCAGTTTAAAAAATGAGTGCATTAAAGGGTAATTTGCCTGAAAGTTCAGGAAGTAAAGGGGGTGGTGTGGAAGCAAGCTGAACAGGAGAAAGAAGGAGGGACATCGTGAGAAGACAGAAAATGAGAAGGAGGGTGGGGTAGAAAGGGAACTAGAAATAAGAAAAGTTGTCTCAACGCAGTTAACATGACTGTATTTGTCATCTGTTTTCTTTTCCTTGTAGGATGTTCACCATGGAAATGGTACACAGCAGGCCTTTTATGCTGACCCCAGCATCCTGTATATTTCACTCCATCGCTATGATGAAGGGAACTTTTTCCCTGGCAGCGGAGCCCCAAATGAGGTTCGGTTTATTTCTTTAGAGCCCCACTTTTATTTTTATCTTTCAGGTAATTGCATTGCATGATTACCCCTAATTTTCTTGTCCTTTGCTGGTGTCTTAAATTACACGAGATTACTGAGTTGTCCCATGGGACCAAGAACCAGTGCAGAACAAGTGCATAACCCAGAGCACTGGCCGTCAAGCAAGGTTGGGCTGATTTGACATGTTGTTTGATGTTTATTCCAAGAGCTCACATGTGTTTGTTTTCCTCTCTTTTTGCTTTCTTCCCTGCACCCTCCTCTACCCACTGTGTTGTGGGGCTTTCTGTTTGTTTGGTTTTTGTGTTTTTTCTTTCTAGGTTGGAACAGGGCTTGGGGAAGGATACAATATAAATATTGCCTGGACAGGTGGCCTTGATCCCCCCATGGGAGATGTAGAGTACCTTGAAGCATTCAGGTTGGTACTTCTTTTTTGAAACTAGCAAATTAGAAAAGAAATGTCCATTGAAATGACACCAAATGTAAAAGAGACATGTAAGTTTTAAACAAGGGAAAGTGGCTAAAGGAGCCATTCCATTAAATGTTCAAAAAACATTTTCTTTTGGGACCTGAATATAGCTCCAAAGCCACATAAAGAATATGTGTAAGAAAAAAGGTACATCAAGGCCTACTTGTAGTTGTACAGGTATATTGGACAATGGCCCAGGCATGCTATGCCCTCTCTGCCGAAAGAGAAGGGAAAAAAATTTATTAAGTAATTCTGGAAACTTGTGCCTATTCTAGCAATATTGTCATTTAGAATGGGCATTAGCATATTAGATGCTCTGATAAGGCCTTCATTATCCACATAACTTTGTCGAACAGGCACTTCCCAAACTTCACTGGACTACAGATTTCATTTTTCACATAGCACCACTCAATATTCTTGGTTCTGCAGAGCTAGCTCACTTTTGGAATGTTAGCTTAGGCATCTCATTTCATGGTAGAGTAAGTGACTTTTCTCTTTCATAAAATAATTTACCTCTCACATTAAACATCAACTGATTAATTAGTTGTTTTCAGTTTCTGTACAAAATGCAGGGAGTAATTTAAATGTATATTTATATATATAGTGTATTTTGCTACTTGGTCCTTCTAAACAAAGAACTTTTAAAATTAAGCAAGAAATGCAACAAATCAAAAACTTTCTTTTTGAATATTGAATTTTTTTTTTAGAAAAAGGCATACTTTATTGTCTAGAGTTAAAAAAAATATTTTCAGTCCTTGGAAAGGACTGTTTTACAGAGAAATATCAGATTGTGTTAATACATACCCACTGGCAAGATTTTAGGAGATTTTAACCCATTGGTAATGCATGATTTTGGGGTGCTTTGTTTAGTTGAAAGCAAAAACAAACAACTACATAAGAAACCTTAAAAACATTATTTTTAAATTTATCATTTATAAGTTCCCAAGGGGGAATATCCTATTGCCAATACATTTGAAATGTAAGGAAATAATAGGGAGATTTTTCAGTAAGTGAAGTGTGGGTGAGTTTCTGCTGTCCTATATATAATGCATACTTAAATTTCTCATTTGAGAGTCATTTTGCATTTGAAAACAGGCCTAGGAAAAATGATAGAAAATCACTTTTTTCAAGAAAATACGTTGAAAGCAAATATATTTGGTTTGGTTTTGGGATATTAAGGAAAATTCTACACACATTCTAGATTTTTACTTTGAAAACATATATATTTTTATTCAATATATACACTATTTATAGAAAAAATAGCTGAAATAACTTTACTTAAAGACTTGTGTTGTCTGTGAAGATATTTTAGGTTAATTTACAATAAAACTAAAAAAAACTGCATTAAGAGACTTTCATTATTATTAAGAAATAATAATAAATAATAAATATTAAGAGAGTTTCATTATTATAAATTCTGTTTACCTATATTTGCAACTTAAATGTTATTCGTATCTTAGAGGAACTCTAATGGGATAATAGACTAAAGTCTATTATATCACATATGAATTTATTTGTTGACCAAATTAACTTGATTACTTGCTTGAAACATTAAGTTCTCAATCTTCCTATAACAAATGATTATATACCACTGATCTATAATACAGAATTCTTAGTTTTTTATTATCATAATACTATTTGGGGTACTATGGCTTTACTTAAAAATGAATTATGCATACCCAGCAGGGAAGGAGAATTTATATTTTGTACTACTTGTTCTCACATCACAAAGTGAATGATGGGTAAGAATGTTTACAAAGAACCCCTTTGAACACAACAATTTTATTAAATAATTAAATAAGTATTAATATTAATTATAATAAAGTATATATTAACATATAACATATTATAACATATATTATATAACATATATTGTAACATATTAACTTATATTAAGTATATGTTATTGTTTCTTGAGTGAATAAGGGCTCCTGAAAATGACTTAATATCCTCAAGATTGGTACCTTCCTTTTGCCTGAATGTGGACACTTTCTATTAGCAAACTTTTCTATAGTTTCCAGTGCAGTCACCATTTCTAAGCTTAGTTAGAGGAGGCAATATTATTTAGCTAGACTACAGAAATGTAAAACTGCATCTTTTAATGTTCATAGTTATTTAAGAACCAGATTTAAACCATAATAATTAATTTTGAACTATACTGTGTTTGCTGTTCAACTTGTATGACTAGAAGTACTTGGGAGCTTCTCATAGAGGAATCAAGAAAGTAAGTCATCCATTCAAAAAGATTCATACCACAGATTGTATTCCAGGCACAGTGATAAGCACTTGGAATTTTGAGCTGACTTGCTCTCAAGAATCATAAAAGAAGTGATACTCACTGTTCTAGAAAATGGGTATGATTAGACACAGAGAGGATAAAATGATGAACTCTTCCTGAAGGGTTTCATGAAGTGTTGTTCAGACTGTACTTTCAAGGATGAGTGGGGGTTTCCAAGGGGTAAAGGAATTGGAGTGGGGGGTACTCATAATAGAAAGAGAGAATAGACTGTGAAAAGCATTTAGTCATGAAATGATCTTGCTCTCTTGGCTTAAGAGCATAAGGGTGGGATTGCCTGGCAGGAATAGAGATCATATTCCATAAACTTTTGTTGGCAAAGAATGGGAATATATAAATTCCTTTCTAATCTGGGGCTTTAGTGAAATATACTCCAATATAATTTTTGATGTAGTATTACCTTATAAGCATATGCTTTGTAATATCATGTATTTACCTTGTTTACCAGTATTAAAACTGGAGATCTTTTTGGCATCTTTTGTGGGTGTACAATATGGAGATGGTGGGAAAAGTAAATGGTGCCTTTTCTTTGGACTGGGATAAGTATCTTTGAAGGGAAATCCTCTCTCTCTGAAGCTATAGGGGGATATAAGGAGGCTGCTTATTTTACCAGCCTACATTTGTCATGTATATTATTCTTGTTTCTATTATGTATTTTTTCTGTAGCAAAAAGACTATTGCAGGCAAACAGAAAGTTTTCATGTTTGCTATAAATTATCCCCCAAATTACTGCAGGATGTATTTAAGATTTTTCTTGAGTTTTTAAAATGTTCAGTAATGTCAAATATCTTTTATGTGGAACTAAAAGGTATTCCAAGGCTACAATTTTAGGGGCACCTGGGTGGCTCAGGTGGTTAAGCATCTGCCTTCAGCTCAGGTCATGATCCCAGGTCCTGGGAGAGAGTCTTGCATCAGTCTCCTTGCTCAGCAGGGAGCCTGCTTCTCCTTCTCACTCTGCGTGCCTGCATGCTACTCCTCCTGCTTGTGCTCTCTCTCTCTCTCTCTCTCTCTCTGTCAAATAAATAAAATCTAAAATAAATAAATAATTAAATAAAGGAAGGTGGGGAGGGAGTCCTGGTGGTCTCCTTCCTTCCTGCCACCAAGCCTACCATTTTATAAAATAATTACATTTTGCTTGAGGTCTTATGTTCTTACATGCCAAGTCTTAGATTAGAAATTTTATAAACATTATAGCTAATTCTTAAGTGCTTTGTATAAGGCACAGAACTTCTAATTGTAAAGGCCACGGTGGGAACTCAGTTTATGTCTCTAAAATCTGTCACACCACATTGCTGCTCTTTTCTACTATTCACGATTTAAAAGACTGAAGAGTGATAAAGCACAGTGAACTTTTACCAAAATGTAGGACCTTCACCCCAAGTCTAAGTCACAAATGTTTAGTACACAGCATGGCAAAAAAGGAGCTGTTCAGTAATATTGGCTGAATAAATCAAAGAATAAATGAATGAGTCAAAGAAAGAAGGAATGATACTGGTTACAGTGTCATTGGAAACCCCTGGTATTAAGTGAGCCTAGCAAAAGTCTGAAACCTAACTCTCTCTTGGCCCTTAGAGAACTTTACAAGGAACTTTGAACACCCATTCATTTGCTTAAAATGTCAGACATCTTCTCTTTATTCAATAAATATTTTGTCGAATGCCTGCTAAGCACTCTCTGTTTCAGTCACTTCAAAATATTGTTTCCAGGGGAACCTGAGTGGCTCAGTCAGTTAAGCATCTGACTCTTGATTTTGGCTCAAGTCATGATCTCAGGGTCGTGATGGAGCTCTACATCAGGCTTCATGATGGGTGTGGAGCCTGCTTAAGTTTCTCTCTCTCCCTGTCTCCCTCTACTCCTCCCCCTGTTCGTGCACACTCCCTCTCTTAAAAAACCATATATATATATATATATATATATATACATATATATATATATTTATATACACACACACACATATTCATATGTATATTTTGAAGTGAAGTGAAATATACATATGTATATTTTGAAGGTATTCAACAAAAATATTGAATGAAGAGAAGATATATGACATTATAAGTGTATATATATATAGTTCCAATTGTTCTGTCTCATCCGTAGTGACTAGATGAGCACTGGTCATACCATTTTTTTCTAAAGATTAATTTTTTAAGGGTTCTGCAAATGTTGGAGTGATCATTTATATAAAAGCACTTAAATAGTTCATAGTGGACGGGAGACAATAGCTCATGCTTCTAATTAAATCTAATGAGGACAACATCTTTGAGTGTTTAGAAAAATCAGTAGCAATTTCTAGTGTGGAAGTAAGATGCTAGCAGTTCTTGAAATTTGCCTGTTTTATCCAATGAATGAATGAATGACAATCCCTTTGTGGCTTTTTAATTTAAAAAATAAAATACAAACCCCTTAAATTCAGAAGCCTTTGTTGAAATAATAAATGACTCATATGGCACACTATGACAACTAGTTAAAAGAGTGGGATAGAACTATTGGTATGAGTTCCTTAGATTCAAACAAGTTGTGATTCAAAAAATAACAACTCTTGGGTCGCCTGGGTGGCTCAGTTGGCTAAGTGTCTGCTTTTGGCTTAGGGCATAGGTCATGACCCTAGAGTTCTGGGATCTAGTAGCAGCACTTTAGGGCTCCTTGTTCAGTA